CAAATTACTGTTTTTGTCCATAACTTGTCTGGTTATGAACCATAACTTGACAAGTTATTGTCCATAATTGTCCATAATTTGTCTGTCTATGAACCATAACTTGACAAATTTATCCATAACTTATCTGATTATGAATCATAACTTGACAAATTATAATATATTAATTTTTATAACTAAAAATTGACCTATATACTTTCTTAAACTTTTCATATTAAAGAAAATAATCCCAGCTTCACTGGAGTTAAAAAGAATGAGTATACCCATTAAAAAAGGGAAAAAAAAAAAAAAGGTGAGTATAGGCTATACTGGAGTATGAACAAAAATTTCCCAACTCCCCTGACTTTTTTTTTTTTTTTTTAATCCGACCCAACTCCTCAGAATTGTATCAACAAGATTATAAATTCCTCAAAGGCAAAAAAAATAATTGCGTGGAACTGGATATGAAAAATACCCTCCATATCAATCTTTTTTTTTTTTTTTTTAAATAAGGGAACTTGCATTTAAACAAAAACAGAGAAACAAAATATATAATACATGACTAATGACCCATCAAAAAAATAGATTTACGTTCGAGGTCTAAAAACGGGAGAAAATTTTGGCACACTAAGAACGAGCACATATAAGTTTGATTTGAAAAAACTCCTCCTATAAAAATAACTTTCAGAGCTTTGAAGGTGGGTATATCAGCAACACGACATAGACAAAATTCTAACATGACCAAAAAACCCACATCATCAGTAAACAATCTAATGGGAAACATAGCTAAAGCCGTAAAATGGAGAAACCACTTTCGTTATTACAAAATAAAGCTGAACACACGTTGATGACTAACGACTAAGGAATGATGGCAACATCACCTTTACTACGCACCAAACAGAAAACCAGAAACTAAAACAAAGAGATACCCAAAAGACACTTATCAAACCTCTGAGAGACAGTTAGTCGCCACCAAGAAATAGCGAGGGAGCTACAACAAACTAAGTAATATGAGAAGATACTGAAAATGGGTTGAGCCACCGCTTCCATTTGGTGCCTCTATCAAACAGAGAAAAACCAAAGCACCCACATGGCACCGAAGTTCCCATCCGACTTCAAGCCGCAAGGAGGACTGCAACAACTCCACCCCCTCCACTTTCTTCGACTGACAAGCCACATACAAACCCCCTCCCAAGGAGCATGATATTAAGAAAGACCTATCCACGGTGGCTCATACTCACCGGCGCACAGATGCACAAAGCGTTGGCAACTAAAAGCTCCCCGGAAAAAGTCTCCCCAAAATCCATATCTCCCTTCCAAAATAAGGCATCGTAGGAGTTTCATCAGAAAATTTGAATCTGCTACATCTGGGCACCATCTCACGGGCTAGGAGTCCAAAGGATCGCCCAAGGCGGCGTCGGACTCCGGCCCTTTGAAACTTAGAGCAAAGGCGGCGCAAATAAGAGAATGGGAAAATAAAACCCTAGTAGGAGAGAGTGGGACTTAAAGTTTATGAAACTTTAACGGATGAGATGCAAAGTTGGGGATCAGCCTATACCTGACGGCCTAATTAGTGAAATAAAATCAGATTGGCCCTTAAGAAAAAAAAATATTCTGATAGAATATGAAACACAATTTAATAGAATACAAAAAAATATCCTGCCACAAAAAATATTCTAGTAGAATATAAATGATATCCTACCAGAATATTAATGATATAAATGATAAATTTAAAGTTAATAGCAGAGATAGCATTATCTCTTTTTAGTATTCTTAAAAATTTCCCTTTAAGTGTACATGGTCGACCTAGCTCGACCTAGAAGGTCGTCAAGCCAAGGATCACTCCTTAATTTATAAAAGGAAAAAAAATTTTAAAAAAATTTATATAAAAAAAAACTAATTAGGTCAGTTCGCTCCCGCAAGTTCAAACATGATCGGCCATGCCCGAGCCAAAAGTCGAGTTTGGAGCTTGTCTATTTTGCCCCACTCAAATTAACAACTTAATGACAATTAAATGAAATTTGATATAAAAATTATACTTTTATCATTATATTCTCTATAAAATATAATCTTTTTTTAGGCTTAGTTTTTTATAACGTCAGTTAATTATATATATATACATATATATATATATATGATTTGTTGTGCTTATTTTCTTCTTTATCACTGCTATGTCATGATTATTAATGTTACGTGGTAATTATGACAAAAAAAAAAATTCAAAATCAGTATTATTCTTCCTGTACTTTTTTTCTTAAAAAATTTAGTTCCACAAAAATTTATGAGATATTTATTTTAAGGGTTCGTTCTTGATTCTGAATAATAATTTTTAATTCTCTATAGTATTTTTCTCTCATAAAAAATTTAAATTTTAAAAATTAAAATTATGAATCATAATGCTGAATCTATAAACTAAACGTCTCATTATTCTTACGTGTCAATTATCATTTTAATAATCGGAACCCATAAACTATCCTTTGACCAAACATGTAATGTGCACTTGGGACAAATATAAAATATTAAATGCAGCAAAGTTAAAAGATTAAACGTTAATTAGATTATCTTAATGAGTTGTCCGGCATACAACTTTTGTGGTGGGAGTATTAAAAATTAAATGAGGGATTCTTATTATCTTATCTTAACTTCATTGAACTGGCAATAAAATAAAATAATAAATCAATATGACAAGGACCAAGTCAAAAAGAGTTTACTGTAATTCACATAATGAAGAGAGGACACGATGAGTCGATGACAGCATGACAGAGTGGGGAATCCATGGAATGTTTATAGAGTAATATATATTCTTATCACCATTTAACACCTTTGATTAATTCAAAATTTTAATTTAAATTGAGATATAATTTTATATGAGAATTTTTTATTATAGTAAAAAATTAAATGTGATTATTTTTAAAATTTTTTTACTGTAACAAAACTCAAATTATAAATTCAATTTGATGAAATGAACGGACTATATTTAAAAAGATTAACATATTAGGTATAGTTGCATAATTTAATAGTTGTTTTTTATTTATTTTTTCCTTGTAACAAAATCAAATTAGAATAGGAAAAACTTATACAAAACTAGGATAGAAAATGCTTTTCTAACTTGGAGTTTGGTCCTTTACACGTGTTATTTATTTATTTCTTAAATAAAAGGCATGGTAATTAACATATTGGTAATGATTTGTTTTTAACGGGTTCCACATTTGTTTAAAAATAAGGTTAATTTCACAAATAATTTCTGAAATTTACTATTAACCTCATTTTTATTTTCTGACGTTTAAAACCACTCAAACTTAATCTTGATCTATTGTCATTTTAATCAGTTAGTTGCTAAAAGAGAACAAAATACGCATGATATTTACTTAGTAGAGTGATGTTTTACATTTTTGCATCAGCATGCATACATATTTTGTGTTCTATAGCAGAGTGTTATTTTCTATCATATCACATGTATATTCCGTTTTTTTTAACACCTAAATAATAAAAGTACAAAAATTGAAATAAAATAATGGATCCGTGTTAATTTGAGATGTTTTAAAAAGTCATGGACGAAAATGAAATTGAGAATAAAGTTTAGAAACTATTTGCGAGATTAACCGAAAAAAGGTCCATACAATAATCCACAAATAAAGCTCCTCATGTTTGCTAATCACTTCCCGCAGAATACTTACATTTAGGATGTAATCTACTAAAGTACTGTTTTTTTTTTTTTTTTTTTTCCTCTTAAATTTAGTCTTTAATAACATACATATCAAAACGAGCAAGGCTACTCAGTATTTACTACAACGGATGTCTAGAATACCACATACATGTGATTTAATGTGTTTTGCACTATTATGTGGCTTCATTTCATTTTAATTCCATAGTATATTGGGATTATGCACTTCGGCGACTTTCTCTTTGACACCTATTTTCTTTCTGAAATTAAAAATAAATAACAGTAATCAACTCTGATTTTTTTTTTCCTCAAGTTATCAATCCTGATTAGTGAAAGGAACATCAATAATAAAACTACAGCACATAGTAAGAACTATAATATATCTTAATAGTACATTAAAAGTATTAAATGGACAGAAACAAACCTTTACATTTAAGACCTTTAAAATAAATCACACAACACTCGAACATTTAACCACAACAATCTTTTATAGTTATCCCACCACACTTGGTAGTAAAAACAAGTGAAAGGCGGCAACTAATTAATGTAGTAAAATTTCCTAGCGTTAAATCTAATATAATCGGAAGATGGTCAACTATTACTTGCTATTGATCACCACTTTTGTTTAGCATTTTTGCTTCCTGTTAGGACGCAAGTCACACTTTTTTGTTTCGATTTTTTTTTTTTTTGGGTGTTTTTTTACACTATTATACCATCAAGCTAAACAGGAATTACATAAGAAAAAAGAAACGAAAGGGACGAGAAACCATTTATGTGTGGATCAGAAGGAGAAAGCAATGTGCTGGAGGCAGCAAAACGTCAGCAAAGGTGTCAAAGTAGTGAAAAACAGCAACGACAAGTGAACACAAAGGACCACTTCATAAACAAAAAAATAATAATTACCCTGACTTGAGGCATCAATCCCAAGAAAAAAAAAAAACCATCTCTGCTTCAAAATGTGCCTCTACAGTACAAAAATGTGCAGGACAATAACCAACTAAGAGAAACAAACTAGCAAGCATCATCCCTGTACTGTGTCTGTTGCTGAATACATAACCCGCTAACGGCGACAAGAAAAAAAGTTTGAACACATTTAGTAGAGTTTGGTTCATGATTCAGAATTATAATTCAGAATTATTTTTGATTGTAATGAATCACGAACTATAATTCAAATCATGCTAAACATTATTCAAATTTCAAAGCTTCTCACTTTTTCAGCAAATGGGAACAACGGAAGGAAGGAATATCACATGCAAACTGAACACATATTCTCCAGATAGTTCTACTTTCAATCAAATCAGAACAGAAAGGGTAAAAGTAGAGAAATATGACAAATATGACATCTGAAATGTCCTGTGAGAAGACAAAGTTTGAAGGTGACTTTGAAGGAAGCAATGAAATGTTTCAGTATCAAACTTGGCTTAGATGGTATTATTCACCAGCATTGTTTTATCGAAATTCAAAACTCTATATATGTTACAGCGATACACGAGAATATTACTAAATCCTTTTCCACAAAAAAAAAAAAGAATATTATAGAGAAGACCCCACCGTTCTAAATTATGATGGGAAAGGCCACATGACGCAGTCCCACAGCTAGAGAATAGTTACAAAAATAGCTCTACAGCAATGCCCACAAACTACAAGCTGCCAAACGCGACATTAATCAGCCTGCTAATGAGGTGCATATTGAAGAAACAGACATTTATTGGGGAGCTACAACAAAATGTTATGGGATGACGCCTAAACTATACCTAGTGGCAAGGTGAAATTTACACCTAAAAGTTTCAAAAGTGCGAGTTTTGGAAGAACTGCCAGGTGCTTCAGTGTCGGACATCTTCATTGCAAACTGGCGAGGTGCAAGTTCTGGAGCATAATTTATAAATAAGGAACCGTGACAAGAGTGTTTTCAGTGTCTCACTTTATTTGGATAGTTAAGTGGTTAACTTGTCATTGCAAGCTGAATATCCACTTGTAATCTGAGATGGTCCCAATTGACTGAAACGAAAAGAAGATGAGATTATAAGTTGATCCGTGAAATTAGACAGATCTGCGTCATGTCTATGTGTAGAGACTAGAGAGAACAAAATATCAACAATAGTACGTAAGGCACGGTTTACTTACCAATTACGCAGTTCCTGTTATTAATCTTTCCCGCTCATCCAACTTCTTAACCTTTATAAGGCCGATGAGAACTTGAAAACCAAAAAATGCGCAAATGGTATAAGCGCCAATGGCAGGGACCTGAAAAATCGAAATGAATTTAAGTATGGAACAAAATGTACAGTAAATCTTGGCAGGAGTACAAAAGAAGAAAACAAAAACAAGTGATAGCTTACTCGTATGGAATTGATATACAAAATTGTTGCGAGGTTTACTAGGCTTCCAGCAGCCACTGCCTGTTAATTAAAGACGAAAACAAAAGAGATAATGATGTAGCAAAAGTCAGGTAATCAAGATTTTCAAGCATTTGCCACAGTAAATACATTTTACGTAACACAAGATACCCACAATCTACTGGTTCTTTTCTCGTGTTCTCTAGACTCTTAAACTAACTTATTAGCCACCCCCTATCAAACGGAAATCTATCTTTAATGTTTCCCGGTAGTCCTTCACATATCCCAGAACGAAACTGAACAATTAGGCCCCTATTCTCTTTCTTTTCAGTTTTTAATGAGGATTGAAAGCCTAATTGCCATCTAAACTTCAAAATTTGTTTGATAGAACTCCGTATAGAGCTGAAAACTTTTCCTTTACAAGATCATACCAAACTGAAACATACTCAGGAAAGTAAAGTAAGATAATATAATTTTAAGAGGTACTCACATTCCCAATGGTCTTCTGAACAGTTGCGACACGCTGAAATGCCCTCTCAGATTCCAGTGCCCGAACTCTAAGCTTGAGATCACCTTGCTCCTGTAAAATTTGCTAACGCGGTTAGTACTTGAATAACTCTTGTGATAAACATAGCAAAACAAACCTCTACAGTTCATACCAGTCTTTGGATAATTTCAGCCAGCTTTGCAACTCTATCCGCCTGTCTAAATAAGTTGTAAAATGCTTGAGACTGCCTATCCCATCTTTTCCTTACGTCCTACAACATTCGTAAGATCAACATAAATATAGGAACTGCATTTAAAGTTTTATATGAAGATAGTTCCAGGATTAGTTAAGATCTTATAGATCACATTGTAAAGTACATCAAGTTTACCTTTAATATAACTTCGATTCCAGCTTCCCGAAACTTTAGCAATTCCAGTGCATAGCTATAAAGTAAAACATTCAAGACTTGTCAGTTATACAACATCATATCCAAACCATAGATAGCACAAATACAATAATTCCAAACCAATCGTAAAGCCAAGGCCACTCACGGTTTGGCAATCTCAGTAATATCAAATCTAGGATCAAGACCCTTCCCAATGCCATCCAATACTGCAGAGAAAATAAAATTATAAAAAAGGGTTCAAATTTACATGTACCGTAAACATCAAAGAAACAAATTACGTTGTATCACCTGAAAATGCTCGGACAACGAACGTGAAAGTAGCAGGAAATCGGAAGGGCTGATCTGCTGCAATTGCTAATAAATCTTCCCCTGTTAAAAGAATACAACAATCAGTAGGACGCACCTCATGTTCATCAGATGCTATAGGTAGATTAAAAAAAGAAAGGAACTAATGTGATACTATGCGATTCAGATACATAAATTTGAAGAAGAAGAAGAATTTCAACCTTAGCCCTATGTCTAAGCATATAAGAACATACATTCGAACTTTTAAAACCAACTTTTAGTTATGACTTTTCTCAAAAGTATCTTGACATGTTACAAATAGGTCTGACAAGTGTCAACCAAAAATAAATCAATTCGTCATATTCTGAATCTTAAATTATATATTGCTATTAAGTTATCTGAATCTAGTCAACAAGTTCAAACTCTTTATCACAAGTACAAAATTATTTTAGTGAATTACCAATTGCAGCTAAACGTTCTTTTTTCTTCATTGTCTTTTCCTCCTTAGTCAATGGCCTTTTAAATCCAAGTTCAGTTGTTGCCATTTCCCGCTCTTCTCTCTGTGCAGCAAGACGCTCTTCAAAACTGCAAAAAGAGATTTGTATCATCAGCAAATAAGTAGTCGCTAATTCATCCATCTTTTGTCCCTCCAAACTACAGAAGGTAACCGTTTTTAGTCTTTAGATTACTTATATGAGAAATCATTCTTCTAAACTCAACGAACAACATGCAGTGAGTCATATCAATTATAGTCAAAACAAAAGATATTCTGTTGTGCATACAATTGTCAAATTGCAAAAATATCTCGCTTTCCATATAGATGCAGACAATGACATAACAGTCTCGTTGATGATTACTGGAACGTTGTTATGAGAGATGATGTAGGAAACAGAAAACTTAGCATCCTCTTTTCTGACTTAATGAAAGATTCACTGTCAAACTATGTTGAGTTTTGTAAGGATTTTTTGGGAAATTGACTGAGGTTAACGTGATACAGACAAGATGAGCAGAGCTTTTGAATTACTCAACTTTAGCAAATTTGTAATTAAAAAAATATGGTGTGCGCGTGTGTATTAGTGAGATAAAGAAAGAAAGGACAGGATCTATGAACAAGAACAAAAAGGAACACAGTAAATTTCTCTGCAATCTTCTCTTTAGTTACCTATTAAGGAAGAATAGTGCTGTTCGTCTGACAGCTGTCATATCTCCAGTTGGCACAAGAACGCCCATTTGTATCATTGCCTGGAGGACCTGCACTCATGTAAAAGATTTCATAGATAAGGAACCATAATTCGCCATTCACATCGCTGATTGCTGTTCAGGGGATTTAGGCATGAGTATGGCTACAATTAGTGAAGAAACAGTTACCTTATCTGGATCCTTCTCATAAACTCCATAGAATACTTCCAACAAACCTTCTCTGATGTTTGGACTGATACTGCAAAGTATTAAAAAAAAATATGTTTGGAAAGAAAAGCACAAAAGAAAACTTTGATAGCTCGAGGCCGGGGAAATACCTTCCCATCATCCCAAAATCATAAAAGATCAACCTTCCACCATTGACATCATCAACAGCAATATTCCCAGGATGCTGTGTGAAGAATAAACCAGACTTCAATCACCGTACGAAAGACATACATCACATTTCAGACCATGCAAGAAGGAAAATTTCCTAGAACATGTATCCAAGACGCAAGTTGGAACAACTTTGGTAACAATGCAACTCTAACTGATGGAGGGACACCATATTAAATAGGTAAGTGGTCATGCTTCTTAAGTTAAGAGAAAAGTAGAAAAGGAAAATGCAAAATACAAACTTCCTACTTGCTGTATAACCACAGCAATCAAAGAGAGAACCACATAAACAGTAAACCACTATTTCAGTCAAGAATTGTGTTGCCCTTAGTACACATGGTATCACTCACTGTTATTTCAACTTCTTCAACTCTCGTTCAAACCACTTACCGAACAATTCATCCAATTTTCCTCCACAATCACCAAATATTGTAACCATCATAAAGAAAACCATATTAAAACATGCTACCAGAAAATAATAATAAAAAGAACTTACAGGGTCAGCATGGAAAAAACCGTGAGATAGGATTTGTTCCAAGTAAGATTCAACAGCATATCGACCCAACCTGCAAAACAAAAGCCCATCACCAAACTCATCAAGAAAATAAATCATTCATAAATGCAGAATCAAAGGAATTGATATCATGTGTGAAAATCATCCACGGAGACAAAAAACAGAATAATTAGATTGACCTTTTCCGATCAACACCCAACTGATCTAAAGCTTGGATCTTATTTATTTTTATCCCTGGGACATACTCCATTGTCAGAACCTACAAATGAAAATGGAAGAGAAGGTTACATTTAAAATAAAATATTGTATGATTGAATGTTGAAATGTCATAATTACTAAAAAGTAAAACCTGTGGTGTGGTGTACTCCCACAATATTTCTGGGACTTTTACATAATCCATATTCTTGAAGTTGCTTGCAAATAGTTCTGCATTGGCAGCTTCCTTGTTGTAATCAATCTCCTGAATGTTTACGATGTTATTAGATGTTTTATATGAGGATAGCTAAGAGGAAAATGGCTTTTAAAGTAAATGAATGGGAAAATGAACAGGTTATCAGACAGAATAAAGTTAAACAAGTTTGAGTGGATAATACAAGTCATTTAATAGAATAATTTTGCGTTTTTTTTTATTATTATTATTTTACATTTACATTAGTACAACGTTTAGCAACACAAGCCAACTAAGAGAAAATTGCTTCCTTGCATAAGCCCTGATGTGATCAAATAAAGCAAACGGAATATATTACTACCTGGTACAAAACCGAGGCACACTCATCATATATAGCAACCCAATCCCTCTTTGCACCATCTGATTTTGGATCAATCTTTTGGAGGTATTCTGCAATTACCTGGTAGAAAACGTAAAAATGATTCCAAAGTTGCAGATGCATGTCAGAAGTTCAACAGATTTTGAGATGCATACATGCAGATAAAACATGCACAACCAACCAATACAGACATTGAGATATGGCACACTAGAAGCAGTCTAGAGTTGATAGAAAAGTTAATATAATGAAAGCTGTTGAGTTTCCCAAGCCAATGGAAACTGATGTTACATAGTAAAAATAAAGTTGCAAGAAAAATATACTATGATAAGCCTATGAACATAAAAATTAGAAAGCACTGAAGCAGTTATAATATGATTTTTCAACAAAGAAACTAACCCTCAGATTTTTTAGATCTATATCAAAAAGACCCTTAAGACCAGGCCTTTGTACTTTAACAACAACTTCCTCTCCCTTCAGTCTAGCGCGGTGGACCTGACCTGCATAAAGAGAGATACAAAGTCCAATAGTCATCCATTTTTCACTATTTCAAGCACACACTCGTATGCATTTCCTTGTTGTAACTAGAAGAAGATTGTGAAATCAAGATTACCAAGACTAGCAGCAGCTATTGGTTCATAGTAAAATTTATCAAAAATTTCATTCACAGGAGCTCCTAGCTCTTCTTCAATAATAGAAACAGCCGTCTCAGATGGGAAAGGAGGAACTTGATCCTGAAAATAAAAAAGTAAATTCAAATTTCATAATGCCTTAATGGAAAGGCAGGTAAACTATAACCGGAAGCAATTGCAAGTTTAAAAGGGATGGTCAGATAAGCCATTGTTCTTCACTTCCAGAAAAGCTAATAATCTAATAAAGCATGAACAATGAATGGTAACTTTTATTAGCTAAGTGTTCTTTAACATATGATCGTAAAAGACTGTCGAGTAGCAAAACCTATCCACTTTCCTGTTACAGGAACTGGATGATATCTCTTATTTCATTTGTGGTGTTAAAAGCAATTGGAAACATCTTCAGAGCAAGCATTCATACTTCCAGGAAGAAAAGATCAAAGATTACTAACCTGAAGTTCAGACAACTGATCAACATATTCTTGTGCAAGAATGTCCACCCTTGTGGAGAACTGCTGCCCAATTTTGATGAATGTCGGACCTAATCTTAAAATACTTTCCTTAAGCCACTTGGCAAGAGCCTTTCGCCTTAAGACTTTCTTCTTCTCTGTCATTCCCCCTGCATATTTATAATTTTGTTATTGTCAAGTATATACTAATAGCAAAGGGGAAGCTGTTGATAAGTAATAAAAACCAGCTAGGGGCATGCAACCAAAATACCACCACCAATCGTGATCCTAAAGGGATCCTTCCCATTCAAAAGTATCCTTTTCTATTTTGAGGCCTTTATTTTTTTGGCTAATTATTCAGAAGGAAATTTAACAATTTAAATCATTTATCATAAATGGGGCTTTTAAAGAACATATACAGACCTCGATAAGTGAATTTTCGATTGTTCAACCAAGCCTTAAAGATAAATGTTAAAACAAATCCCCATATTTCCAAGGTCCTCTGGATTGTTGAGTAAGTTTTAAATCTACTCCAACGGCCACCAGGCGCAACAGAAACCTGCAAAAACCATATTGCCATAATACTGTGTTATTGCAGCATTATGCACGCATAAAATACTCGATATGTCCTCGTGCCTACAAATAATCAAAAAAGGGCCAGGACTATAGCAGCAACACGCGAACTGTCACCTCTTCAGAAAGATATATAAATCAGCTTATGCTTCGACAAGTGAAGTTCACGGATTCAAACTCTCAAAGTGAAGTTCACGGATTCAAACTCTTAAAGAGAAAAATCCATATCCACCCCAACAAATTTTTTTCTAATACATTCTTGTATCAGTACGTATAATCTCTTGCTCAAGGCATTGACTGAAATCATGAAAAGTTTTCTGATACTGAATTGAACAACTAATCCCTAGCTACTGAATCGCTTAACAACATCACTGATTAAATCCTATGCCCGACATTTCTTTCTTACATCAAGACTACTGCATTAAAACGCCTAAGTTCTACTAACAACAGAATCAAACTTTTTCTAAATCTCAAACAGCACACATGATGATACAGAATTTCCGCCTAAATGAATACTAACTAAACATCGAAACCCCATACCTCGACATTTTGTGATCCACTTTGCTTAAACCACGCGTCTTCCTTCCCAATTTCCTCAATCCTCTTCTTCCTGCCTTCCTCCTTCACCTCCACATCTCGCACCTCCGCCACCACTTCCGCCTCCGCCGCCGCCACGCCATTTCCGTTCACGTACTTCGCCAAGCTTCCGTTGCTCGCCCCGTTCCCAGTCTCTACCACACTCACGCCGCCATTGGAGTGCCCCTCCACCGAACCGTCAAGAGCGTAACCGTTACCACTGGTGCTCGCAGTCGCAGCTCCATTACCACTCTCGATCAACCTCTTCTCTCTCTCCTCGACCACCACGCCGCCGTCTTCCTTAGCCGCTCTGATCCCCGACCTCAGACGAAAATCGCCGCCGTGATTCCTATATAGCGTGAGCCGGGACCTAGAATTCCTAGAGAGAGAAAAACAGCGCCTCGGCGTCGATTGTGGGAAGAGAAAATTGAGCTCCGGTATAGCTATAGAAGAAGCCATTAACGACAACAAGAAACTCCACAACAAAGTCAAAGCTTGAACCTAGATTTCATAGCATGGCACACAGAGAGAAACGTAGAGAGAGAAAGAAGAGAGAGAGAGAGAGAGAGAGTTTGAATATGGAGTTCGAGAGTGAAGAAGACGAAGAAGAAGAAGACAGAGTGTGCGTGTGAGGAATATGAAGCATCAGATTTTTTTTATTTTTATTTAATTTTTTACTTTTTGAGGGAAAATATGAAAAGGCCGGGAAAGGGGTGGAGGAGGGAAGGACACGTGGCAGACGAGAGATTAGTGTTTGGGAGAATGGAGGATTCTGATTGGTTGAGATTGTCCCAGCGGGATGTTCTCAGCCACAACGGCGTTTCGTATGTTTAGAATTCCTTTGGACGCTTTTCCGCTTACGTGTCTCTCCACGTGTACAGATTTCTTAGCCACTTGTCTTTTTCTTTTCTTTTTTTTTTTCATAAAAAAACAAAGAAATATATTTATTTTTGTAGGATCCAAAAATAATAATAAGAATTTTTACGGGAGGAGCTGAGAAAAAATGAAATATTAATAGTATTTTATTTTTCAGTAATTAAATCTACATTAAAAAATATTTATTTTATATATATTTTTTATTTTAATGTGATTTAGATTAGAATAAGAGACTATACATAAAAAGATTTTAATAATAATACTAATAATTATTGTTTTTTTACATCTTGATTCCATTTTACTTTTCTTCTGTGTAAAGTGTTTTGGTGTACTGATGTGTGGGATTTAAGAAATACTTTTACTCTTTTATTTTATTTTATTTTGGGAACGTACAAAAAATGGAAAAGAAACTGTTAAATCGCGATAAATAATTATTTTGGGAACGTGCTTTTGAGTGTTTCTTCTTTTGTATGCATATTATTTTAAAAGAATTTCATTAAAAAAAATGTTATTTTGAAAGAAAATAAATTGTCAACTTGGAACTTGTACCGCTTGTTATTTTGGAGTTTAATTTGAGTATAATTTTTGAGTTAAATTTGAGTTATAATTTGAGTTTGTGTTTGGTTGTGTACATTTAAGTTATGGTTTGAGATAAGAATTTTTTTGAGTTTGTATTTGAGTGAGTCAAATTTAGATAGTATTTTAATAAAAACTCAATGCTGATGAAAAATTTTAATAGGGTATATGGGTTGGGTTTTATTCATCTTTTCATTGTCAACGCATAGAAAAAAACATCTCAATCAGAATTAAAACGAAAAAGTTATAGCATTTTTAAGAATAGAAAAAATATTGTTCATTAATTTGAGTTCGAGTTTCTAAACTCGAGTTGAAGGGGAAACTTGAACTCGAGTTTTAGTCTTAAACTCGAGTTTAAACTCGAGTTTAAACTTGAGTTTAAACTTAAAAGAACATGAACTCGAATAAAGTTGTAACTCGAATTGTATTTTTTTGAGTTTTCACTCAAAAGAACAAGCCCGTAATTATTCTTAAAAAAATTTGATATATTTTATTTTGTGCTCATACTCATTGCTATATATATCACTTTTTATTCTATAATATATAATACCAGTTTAGTTTGCTTTAAATAAAATCAATAACAAATTAACTCAATTGAGAATTTACTTTTAAGAGTGCATAAATTTAGACATTTATCTTTTATTTTTAATAAATATTATTTTATTAATGTAATTATTTAATTAAAAATATTATAAATCAAGAATAAAAAGTAAAAATCATTGTCAATTATTTCTTTCATATATATATATATCACTATCAATTATGAAGACAAATAAAGTAGATGACGTAATTGTATTATTTTAATGCTATCCTAAGAGACCTTGAGTACGAGTTGTAAGCAATAATTGCTGGTTTCTTTCGACTCAAAAAATATTGGTTTACATATGCATATATCATTTGGTCAATAATCATCCGAATGTTCATTTAAAATATAATAATAATAATCATCCGAATGTGTATGCAATATTATCTCATTGGAGGAACTCTGACCTAACTCCATAATTTGACAGAAAACCTAACTCCATAATTTTACAGAAAGGTCACAATTTACATGTTAACACATGGAAAGTGTTCAGTGGAATCTCGAGTGGATATTGCATTGTTGCACCAATGTTTAAGGAAGCATGAGCACGAAATTTTCTTCTTTGTGCTTGTTATTTTGAAGAAAAGTATGTTTTCAACTCGAAACATGTGATTGTTCATTAAAAAAAAAAAAAAAAAAAGAAAAGAACCTTGATACAGAATTTTTGTGCACTAAGATATTCATGTATCACTTTTTTTCCCCTCAAATGTGGAAAACCATTCTAATTTTCTTTTATCACTATTTCCACAACATTAATCACATTTATCACTATTTCCAACATAAAAACTTATTACAAATTAAAAAAACACAAATCCCCAATTCTGAAACCCTAATCTCTAACATGGAAAAAAAATCAATCTTTACAACATCATTTATTAATATCACAATATAATATTCAACAAAGCACCGTCCAAGAACAAACTTTTGGCAAAAAATATAGACTTTTCATATCCCAATAATAATCTAATTTATCATAAATAGTCAAATCCTAGAATAAAAAATCCACCATGCATCAACTAAAACCAGAAAAATCTCAACTACATTACCCTTACCATAAACAAAATTCTCAAAAAGCAATAAATCAACAACAACAGTGAACAAAAACCCCTATTGTAATCAAGTTCGGGCTCCCCTTGAACTTCTCTGCGCAAAATCGGCATATGGGTATTCGTCCATCAAACTCCACCATATTGGAGCAATCTCCTGCTTCATCTTCTCCAAGAGCAGCCAAAACATCAGGCCCCGTTCACTTCACCGATTCGAATTTAAAATTTGAGTTTTGTTACAGTAAAAAGTTTTTAGAAACAGTCACATTTAACTTTTTTGCTACAGTAAAAAGCTCTTACATAAAATCATATCTAAACTCGAATTACAAACTCAAATCAGCGAAATAAACGGGCTGAGTATTTTTCAATTAAACAGAGAAAAAATGGATTTTCAATTCCCTCCCTCTCTTTTTTGGGTTTCTCGTTAAAAATGGGGACCATGGGAGAAAATGAATGGGTCACGTGAGGCGCACATGGGCAAAACGTTCTGAAAAACTAGCGCCGTATTCAATTAGACCACAATTGTAAAGGATTTCAAATTATGAGCTGATTGCAACAACAAAAAAATTAATAAAAAAAAAACTAATTTACTATCGCAAAAAATTGGGGGAGTCCACAGAAAAAAAAAAAAAAAAAAAGCCATATAAATTTATTGAACTATCAATTTAACACGTTGGCCGCCTTAAGATATGACCATGAAATAAATTACAGGCCCCGTTCACTTCGCTGATTTGAGTTTAGAATTCGAGTTTTTCTACAGTAAAAAGTTCTCACAAACAATCACATCTAATTTTTTTGCTACAGTAAAAAGCTCTCACATAAAATCACATTTCAACTCGAATTCTAAACTCGAATCAGCGAAGTGAACGGGGCTCAAGATAACAATTTATGGTATTTACGTACTTGTAGAATTTTTTTCTTGTTTTTTTTTAAGAAGTAGATGCTTTTAAACGGTCGCATATTTGTAAAAACTTTACACATTCATATTTTAGTATGTCAAAAGTTTCATTGTAATTTCCTTGTAAGCAAGTTTATTCGAAGGCTTACCAAAAAAAAAAAACAAAAACAAAAACAAAAAAAGCTCTCCGGCATGTTAATTGTGTTGGGAAACATAGCTTGTAATGCCAACTTAAATAACAATAAAACTATATAACTAAACATATCAAATTAAACAGTATTTTGGCCGGCAAACTTAAGTAAATAATTTTCGGATGGTCTAACCGCTAACGGTTAGCTGATCTATAACAACGGCCAAAAAGGAAAATAAAATAATAAATATAGCATAAGGCCAGTCGAGTGTGTATATATATATA